AAACGCTCCCGGGTCGATGCTTGCTAATGGCGTCTGGTGCCTACCTTGCTTGTGATGTTCCTTGTTTCTCTGTCTCGGTTCATGGAGTGGGCGACTAGGTTTGCCTTCACTGCTGGGTGACCGAAATGGCATCAACTAAAGGTATACGAAAAATGTCGTGGATAAGCTCTCGTACCAAGCTCTCGTACCGAAGGAAATGTCCGACAAGAATCTGGAGCTGGCCAGGGTGTGGACACGGAAAGACAGGGCCGACGGCGAAAGCGAGCTGCAAGCACTTTAGGGAGCCTGTCTTCTCCACGGATCTGAGCCCCCGCGACGCGCGAGCAGGGCAACGCCAATCTGATGGTGCGAGACACTGAAGATGGCGGCATATGGTCTAACATTCCTGGTCCTCTGATTGTGCAGAGGAAGTGTACTCTGTAAGTTATTTTGCTTGTTCATGTACGTGAGGACCCAATCTCTCGGAACAGGGCAAAGCGTGGAATGCATCAATGATGACTGGGCCGGTTTCATGGGGACGCGCCAGTGGGAGTGGGCGGCGCGCCTGCGTCCGTGAAATTTAATGATTCGCAATTCATAGCGCCGGATGTTGATGGGGCCTGCGATCCCGAAGCTTCCGTCGGCGGACCATAGGGGCGAACGCGACTACGACCGCGGATGCGCAGATGGCGTCCCGGGATTGGCATTATTACGTTCGTCTGATATCAATATCGGCCTTTTTCACCAGACGAACGGACAGAGCGTTAGGGACGGGTGGCATGGCTTTGTTTGATGCGACTCCCAGAGATATGTTGTAGACAAGTATCCGGTCACCAACTGGTAAAAAGTTAAAAGTTAGTAAGTTGTTGACAGGCAGCCCCCATGCTGGGCGGATGGGGAATGATGCATAATGACAGCAAGACATGATGGAAAGACGTGGTTCGAGAAACCTGCTGACTGGGTTGGTATTGTTTGGTTGGCTGTCCGGGGAAAGGGGGTGGTGTCCCCTGGCGAGGGTTTGGAGTGGTGGACGAAGAGAATGGAAGAAGTAGAAGCTTTGGATGGGGCCACCTCGCTCACAATACACGTACTGACTGGACACTTTCTGTGTGTGGTGATGGCCCTATGAGCCACGCTGGCAGTGGCATGCACCCTCTCAGTCCCAGGTGCTGGTCGGTGGCAGTCTGCCTTGCCCGTTTTAGGGGTTAGCGCCCCCAACTGAAGGTCCTAGCGAGAGGAGCTTGGCAGGGAACAGGGGGCCGTTGCAGCGGACTCGGGAGCGCACACTCTCCAAAAGTCGGGCTCGGTTTTCTTTTCTTTTGATTTCTGCCAGCCAGCAACCACATCGCGGACTCGTGCGTGACGCTTCGCTTCACCGTGGAACGGGAGGGTTGTGTATGTTGGGAGCTGGGTTGGCGATCCCTGTACCTGAAGTGTGCCGTGGAATAAGCATTCTATTCTCCCAGATGTGGCAGGAAGGTACCTCCTTATTCGTACGGATACCGGTACCTGCCTTACACCGGGTAAGAAGGTACGAATACATACAGTCGGGAAAAGGGAAGGAACAAACACACGACGGGAGCTGCCAGTTGCAACTGCCCACAACCTGGGAGGAAATGACAATCGCCCACCCGCCTTACCTCCCTGGTCCTTAGACTCTCCCATCATTGGAGCTCCCAACCTTGACACCTCCCTCCTGCAGTCCTTTCATCCATCCATCCCTCCTCCTCTCCCGTCACCTCACTTACCAAGTTACCAACTACCTACCATGCCTAGGTACCTAAGGTAGGTAGGTACGTAGCACTCAGCAGACCTCACTCCGTGAGATAGTCACACCCTGAGCTCACATCTCATCTCACCTGGCTCCTCTGGTGGGAACTTGCAAAGGCAAGAAATCAAACAACAAATGCCCCAAGCACCAAAGAGAAGCAAGAGCAGCCTCGGCAGGGGCCATGTGCCCGCTAAAGTAGTCTCAGAGATTGCGGATACACCCTCATATGGATAGTTCTGGGCCTATTGCTCGGGAACTGCTCCTTACGCTGCTTACAAAATACACGTACCGACCAGGTTGTAAGAGCAAGGTTATCTCTTCTCCCTTCTCCATAACCCTGCAAAGTCCCCTCCAAGGTCCAAAAGAGCTGCGGTGCGGGTGCGGGTGCGCTTGCGGGCTGACAGAGCGTGGGAGCGACACTCAGTCACTTTCTCGACCCGAGTCCGCGCAAAAAATATCCTGACCATCACCCTACCTGACCTTACCTGACCTTGGACTTATTTACCTGGCCTTGCCTTGCTTTAGTCGCACCTCGACCTGCGCACCTCTTTTCTTTTCCCTTTGCTTTTCTCCCACCACCCTCACCGGGCCTCACCTTGCAAATGATAATATTTTCCCTTCTCTGTGACCATCCTTCTTCTTGCCATTACCTTACTTTAACCCCCACCTCTCCCTCCTTGACCTCTGCTGCGCCTGGCAAACCATCGCATACCTGGCTCCTGTAGATGCGCCTCTCCTCCTGATGATGCGACGTTGCGACATACCCTCCTTTTCGCAACGAACCTCCCGCCGGCCTGGCTCCGCCTAATACTCGACACCTGGCTACTTTCAGCCTTCGATCACGAACCGATGCCCGAGCTACACGCAGCAACTACTACCAGATAATAATCGAGAGCACCTGGAGTCATGTGGCGGAGAGCGTACCTATTTCTGGTGCTGGTCAGGCTGTGGTTCGCCTTGTCGCCCAGCTACCTGCACCCCGACGAGAATTTCCAGGGCCCAGAGGTCATCGCAGGTACGTTCAGCTTTTTTTTTTTTTGCAGCTGCTGTATCCCGTTGCCTGGGTAGAGCGTGCCCAGCTCTCGGTTTGGCGCCATGGAGCTTCCTACCTCATAGCTCGGATCGAGTTTAGGCGCTTGTTCTCGTTCAACAGGACCTAAACTAACGGCGTGGCGCAGGCCAAATCTTTAGTTACCCGGTACGGCACACATGGGAATTCACGAATGAGCACCCGATACGAAGCGTCTTCCCCTTATGGCCCGTCTACGGCCTGCCCATGATGTTGCTGAGATGGCTGTGGATCGGTAACGGCAAGGACGGCGAGATCCCCCCAATCGCAGTCTTTTGGACCCTTCGCGTCCTCATGTTCGTCACCAGCTTCGTGCTGGAGGATTGGGCCATTCATGAGCTCATCAGCTCTCCACGACACCGTCGCGTTGCTGTGCTCCTGGTCGCCTCGTCCTATGTCACATGGACGTACCAGACGCACACATTCTCCAACTCGGTGGAGTGTCTCGTTGTTGCTTGGTGCTTGGTCTTGATTCAGCGCATTGTCGAGAGCCCGGTAAGGACCCCCTGGGCACGATTTTGTGGGCACCAACATGTGAAAGCTAACTAACGATTGTGACAGCAACAATCATCGCTTCTTGCTTCTACGATTCTCGGCATAGTGGCCGTCTTTGGATTGTTTAATAGAATTACTTTCCCGGCGTTCTTGTTGATTCCGGGACTTCGCTTGATACCCCATTTTCTGAATAGGTACGTCCGTCTAGGCACCATGACATCAGGGGACCGCCCACTAACAACCCACCAGACCCATGTCCTTCGCCGTGATGGTGTTGGCAGCTTTTACAACTACCTTGGTCGCCATCACCCTGGATACGGCATTCTACCTCCCTGAACCCATCAAGTGGGCAGACCTCATCTCACGGCCAGTCATTACGCCACTCAACAACCTCATGTACAACATCGACACAGACAACCTTGCGCAGCATGGGTTGCACCCCTGGTACCAGCACCTACTGGTCAACATTCCCATGCTGATCGGCCCAGCTGCGATGTTGCTCTTCACTCAGCCATACCTCTCATTACGACTCTACTCGGCCATTTCTGGTGTCTTTGTGCTGTCTATCTTCCAGCACCAGGAAGCACGATTCCTGCTGCCCACCGTCCCGCTCATCCTCTCATCAGTGCACCTTCCGAAGAATCGGACTGTCGTTCGCGTGTGGATCGGGGTGTGGCTTGCTTTCAACTTGATCTTTGGCATTCTCATGGGTGTCTACCATCAAGGCGGTATCGTGCCGGGCCAGGTATTCCTGAGCAAGCAGCCAGACGCGACGCAGGCCGTCTGGTGGAAGACCTATACGCCACCCATTTGGCTTCTTAACGGCAAGAATGAGGTCCTCACGACACGCGACGTGATGGGTATGAAGGGCGACACGCTCCTCGAGGAGCTGACCAAGTTGGCTACCTGCGACACGCCGGCGGATCGACGCAACTCGGAGTATTTGAAGGAGAAGAACGGGACATATCTGATCGCACCAGCATCAGCGACGTGGATAGACCCCTACCTTCCCAACAAGGGACTGAAAGGCCTACGGTTCCGCGAGGTATGGCGTTACAGGCAACACTTGAACTTAGACGACCTCGACTTTGGTGACGACGGCATCTGGAACACCCTGACGAGGGTGATTGGCAGACGTGGCCTCGTCGCCTGGCGTGTGACGAAGAGTTGCAAGTGAGGGCGGGTTGTGCAGGAGACTCAAAAGCAATGAATGAAAAGATTTGAACGTTTTGATGATTGAAAAGCATTCGATCCTTCGAAAGCAAATGGTATCGTGACTATGTGATGTGGTCCTTTCTTTGTCCCTGTTTGTGACTAACACCCATAAATATCTCGAGCGCCGTACCGATGGCGCCCATTTTCATTTCATTACACAAGGCCTCTTTTTTTTTGTGAGACCCTTTACATTCGTTAGGGAGCTCCCCCAGTTCCGATTCCATCCCATCATTTGTCTGCGAACAGCCTACAGCGCATACCAAGCGCTTCGTTAGACGCCAGACCTCGTCGAGTTCGCCGGCATTCATCCAGGAATATGCCGGGGGACCACCTGGCCCACATGGATCCGTCTGTATCGTCTTTCGAGAAGGGTCAGGCACGATGGCGATGTGCCGTAACCCCCTAATATCATCGAGACGCAGCTAGACGGACGAGAACAAGTGGACCAAACTCCTTGCCGAGCAATAGTCCTCACGCCGCCACGCTCGTCTTATTCACATCCACAGCGAAATACCAGTTCCCCGAGACGTTCATCGTCCCCAGCTTGCTCTTCATCCAGCAGACGTGGTTGCCGTAGTAATCGCCCCACCCGGCCCCGACGCAGTCGTCGCCCTTTGACGCGCAGAGGTCGATGCAGGCGGCCATGGTGGTTGCGTTCTCCGAGGTGAGGTCGGTGGCGCCGTCGGCCGAGTTGAAGTCGTGGCCGCATATCATGCGGAATGTGCGTTTGGGGGCGTCGGGGGAGCTGTAGGTTACGTTGTCTGCGGCGGGGCAGGTGATTGTTGCGTTTGCGGTTGACGTTGCTGGTGTTGTTGTTGAGTTGCTGGTTTGGGGTGTTAGTTTGGTGAGACTTTTGGGTACGTGGTTTTTGTTTGAGTGATATGGGATGAAATGGCAAAGGGGGGGGGGGGGGGGGGATGAGATGAAAAGGGGATGATTTGTGAAGAGACAAAAGTGTGAACGTACCCTGACGAAGACTTGTTCTCGCTCTTCTTCATCGCCAACCCTACCCCAAGACCGACGGCGATGGCGGCCACGACGAGGACGATAGCGACCCCCATGACGACGTAGCACACCTTCCTACGCATCCCACATACTGTGGCCTTCTTGCCCTTCCCGGAGCCATCCCCGTCGAGAGATCCGGAGCCGTACCCCGGCGACCCGGGCGGCGGCTTGTGATACCCAGGCGGATGCTGCTGGCCCGCGGCGGCATAGTAATACGGCGCGGCGGAGGCGACGGACGGCGAGGACGAGACCTCGAGGTTGGGGTTCTGCTTGTGGTAGTGGTGCCACGATAACGGGTCGTCCGCGACCTCGGGGAAGGTTGTGGTCTTGGCTTCCGAGTGGTTGTATGGGGAGACCTCGGGCAGGTGGATGTCATTGTTTGTGCGGTTCCAGGCGTTTGGCTCGGCTACTTCGAGGCCGGATTCGTAGACCTGCTGGTTCTGGTACTGTGGGTTTGATGTTGCGGCGGGTGATGAGGTTGCCGCCGTGTTTGTGGTGTTTGTTGGGGCCGTCATTTTGAGAAACTTCTCGGATGCCCTTGGCCTTGGGCCCTCCATGGCCGATTTTCCCTTCTCCTCGAGAGAGAGGAGACTATTATGTGGGTTTTTGTTGTTCTGTGTCCCTCCGACTCTCTGTCTCCTCTTAGCTCCGTCCAGGCTCCAGCTTACTGCGCCTCCTTCTGCGTGTGAGATTCCCTCGCTCTTTTTTGCAAAATGTCTGCCTGAATCCCTCAGTCCGAGAGGTGCATTCTCTTGGACGTCAAAGTGAAGGAACTTTGGTGAAACAAAACCCCATAGCTTGTTGTAAGTGATGTGTGTTCGCCAAGAGATATTCCCGTACGATGCGAATAGGTTAGAACCCCCCCTTTTGTTTGCGGAGAAGACAACCGAGTCCAGCCAAGTGCGTGAGCCAGGGTATGTATTGTAGGACGGAAGTGTGGAAAGAAAGCGAAGAATGGAGATGGGAAAATAAGCAGGAAGAGCGAAAGGGGAGAAGCGTGAAGGGAAGAACGGGAGAGGGCTGCCGGCATACAAATTAAAACCCCAGGAGGAAGGCCAGAACAATGGAGGTAAGCACTGTAAGCAAGACCAAAAAAAGCAAAAAACGGGCTGGCGAGGAACTAACTACCTTACAGGCTATGGTCCACAGTCCCGCTGATGGACTGAATCCCCCCCCCCCCCTGCCCGGGGAGCAAGCTTATAGTTTAATACGACGAGTTTGGCGCGGTTTCTCTCTCCTCTCAGCCCCGGTGGTTTGTGCCTTATTCGGGATAGCTTGGCAAATCGGCTGGCCTGCTTGCCGGTCCTCCTTGTATGTATCCGTTCGGGCTGAGGAGGGGTGGGATTTCTCATGCAGGCGGTGGGATGTGTGATCGATGAAGAACGGGGTATGATCTACGGTCGATACGCGCTGTACGGGTATCTTTGACGAGAGAGGAAGAATCAAGGCTGACCCTGATTCCTGACCCTCGAACGTGCAGTGAAGCTGAAAGTTTGTCACTTTCCCTCCCACTCGGTGCTCAGTTCTCGCGTGTACTGTGTATGGCCTACTGCCGAGCTGGTGGGACGGGTAACTGAGTCGACCGAGTTGACCGGATCATGTCAGCGCGCGTGGGAAGGAGTTTCGCGCTTGCTAGTCACCCACTTAGTTTCTCACTGTCTCACTTAGCACTTTCTTCGTGCTCATTTATTATTGCCTGCCGCTACGGTCAAACTGCTTTTTACCTTTTACCTCACAAGGCGTTTCCTCGCCCACGGGCCTCCCCTTTTTCAGCCCCGTTCATCAGCCACCAACAACGGGCCTAACGACTCCCGGGAAAGCGCGCGTTGAGCGTGGAGAGACAGAGCCAAGAACAGGGCACACAGGGCACACAGGGCTACCAGCGCGGGGGAGAAGGAAGCTTGGCAGGCGTTTGGAGGTTCGAGAAGAGACGCCTGCCTTTCGATGAGGTCCCCTTATCTTTCAGGACAGGACGAAGCAGAAGACGAAGGCATAATAGTCGTCCCCGAATCCCCGTCTTTGGACGTATCGATCCTCCAGCGCTCCGCATCTCATTTGCGGCAAGATTTGAAGGCCGGTGGGCAGCGTAACGTCGTCTCAACGGTGGGGAACTGTTGCATTGCAGACAAAGTGGTTTTGAAGAGAAAAGGCTGGGCCAAATCATGTCGCAGAAAAAACGTATGAAATGTTATAGCAAGAGAAAAAGACGATCCTACGTGCCTCCCAACCCTCTCAAATGTGCATTATCCAAGGGAATTTCTTCATGGAAGCGAGCCAGCCAATTGGACGTCTCGACTGTGCTAGTTATACGGGCGAGAGTGCGATGCGGTTGGCTTGGCGAACGAGCTTGAACTTTTGGGCGAGGAACCTCCCCCTGTAAGTTGCAGGTCAGCGTTCCATCACAGGGGGTTTGATGGAGGGGAGAGAGTCTGGAAGAGGGCGAAAGGCGAGATGTGTCGGGAGTTCTGGACCCTCTCTCTTCTCGTAGCGCTCGATTCGGTCAATTGTTCGAGCTTGATCGCCGGGCTGTGCCTCCCGTCCGCGTTTCCACCAGACTGGCTGCGGTACAGGATACAATGGGGGAGCTCAAATATCGCTCATGATGTAATATAGCCGGGGGTGGCGGGCTTCTCAAAGAATCCAGTTGGGGACCGCCCGTGGAATCTTGTAAACATATTTGGGAGTTTTGATTCCTTGCATTGTGATAAGCATCACAAGGCAGTTCCCGGAATATCGTCTCATTGACTGTCATCCATCCGAAATTTGTGCCTAGCGATGAGTAATAATTCGGGGTGAAGTAAAACTCAAGACGGGCTGATGAGATGAGCAAATGGTCTGTCAGCCCTTGCAAAGTTTATGTATAATGAAGGTAGATATGACCTTGGAATGTGTCAAGTCTCTCACTTACGCACCCTTGAGCTGAAAAAAAAAAAAACATCAAGCACAACTACGTGGGCGGAGGTAGTGTGCAAAGGTTATGCTACTTGTTCAGTATATTCGTACGTTCGGTCTTCTCTGCCACCAGCCAGAGAATATCTTCAATCCACTCTCTTTGAAACACGTCGATCAAGTACTCATTGTACTCTTGCATTCCGGTCCAGAGCTGGAAGAAATGGTTTCGTGTATCTTGACAAGGATTGAAGATAAGACACCGTTCTTGCCATTGTATCTGCACACAATGCAGCTGGTCTCACTCGGGTGGGTCCCCGAGTTAACGGTGTCCCTCGCCCAGACCCGGCGCCGTGATGAGGCCGTCGTATCGGTGTCGGCTCATCGTGGGGCGAGGTCGAGCGCTTCCCAGGGCAGACATCCCGACGTGGAGGTTCGGGCAGTCAAAGTTCAAACACGGTGGTTGCGGCACGGAGCGTCGCCGAGAGCCAGATTCCGCGCCAACTCTATGTACTCGTGGATAAACACCACAGTCGGCGAGCTCTCATCCCACGCAACGCCCATCTCGAACTGCCCGTGACCACCCCCCCCCCCTTCCCCCCGCATTGCATCGACCTGGGCTACCCAACGTCCAACGACCACCTTGACTCTTCGTTTGGAAAAGTAATACGGACAGATCAGTCTGGCCAGTCAAACGTTTACCTTTCAGTTAAGTCTGACGACTAGCCAGACCAAGGATGGAGGAGCAACCACAAGCACAAGATCTCAGTGGGCTATCACCAAACTTCCGCAGCGCGTTGCAAGATCTCACCCACGAATGGGGCTTCGTCGTCGTCCGCACCGCTTACGCCGCCGATGATGACGAAGCGCAATGGGCCGTCGCCTTGGAGAAACTGCGAGCCTACGCCGCCCCGGCCGACGACCACCGCGCCGAGACGGCCCCGGATACCTTTGCACTGCCCGTCATAGCCAACTACAGCGTCTTGAGCGGCGCCGATTACGCCTCCGTGCGCAAAGCTTTCAATGGGTGGGTTGACAATTTCGTTCGCCGCAAGAGGTCGTCGAACGACGACGATGATGATAATGATGATGACGACGACGACGACGAGGATGGACAGTGGCCGTCCGACGTTCGCCGCGACGTCTTCATTGTCATCGACGAGCCAGCGCTCACTTCGCTTCTCAATGCGCCAGTCTTCACCTTCGGCAAGGCCCCAAACCTCGACCTGGAGCCATGGGTCGTCGCAGTCGACGCCAAGGACTCGGCGAGCGTGCCGTACGGTGGGGGAGGGCCGTACATGGGCTTCACGAGGTCTCGCGCCCGCGTTCTGGGCCAGCTGTGGGAGGACCTCGGCGCGCGGTCTTTGGCGCGATTGACTCCCGTTCGAGAGTACGACGGCCAGATCCCGCTCTATGACGGTTCTTCGCGGGGTAAGCTCGTCGATCCTGCTGGCGGGCTGGAGTGGCGGTTCAGGTTCCCACGGGGCACGCCGCGAGGAGCGCACGGCGCAAGGGCCATGGTGGAATGATTGAGCGAGCTGTGGGCAGAGCGGATGGTTCAGGGAGTTAAATTTTGTCGCCAAGGGAAAGGGGGGGGTGGGGCTGCTGAAGGCCGGATCAAGAGGCTTTGCGACGCAGAGACCGAAACCATCGTTGCGTTCATCATTCTCAATCTGTTAGATCATACGGAGATTGGCAATTGGTATGTTCCATCGGGATAGCGGGTACGGCTCAAGTGTGCCAAACTTCAGTCTTATTGGAGAAGTACGACGATATTGGCCAGTGGAGCAACAGATCTTTGACGGCCAGTTGGTCTGCCAAGCAGCTAGGCCATCTCAAAAGGTTTCTCCGCCATCTGACTATCCTCTCGGAAGCATGCAACGACTATTTTGAGTTTGAGATACCGCCTTCGACCCTTCCGGGGCCCTTTCAAATTTGCTGTACTGAAGAGCATTGAAGCAACTACCAGCGCCTTGACGGGCGATGACAGGTGACTACAAGACATACTTCCCTCGACTTTGAAAAGCCGCGTACTTTGGCAAGAAATAGTTGACATTGACGCTTCCGAGAGGAGGGACAGGGTCCAGTGCTGGGAGAGTTCCTTGTCGTCTCCCACATGTCAACGCCATACATGACAAGTGTGTGAATTGGTCTTTTGGAGCCATCTGTAGACGATGAACGAGCAAAAAAGGACCTCAGGACAAGGTGTCAGCGGACATACGGGCTCGGTATTTCTTTCATCGAGCTCTAGTAGAACGGGGGCATGTGATTCCATACTAAAAGCTGTAAATTCTGCCAAATTATACATAGGGGAAAAAAGCCCTCAACTCTTCAACTTCTCTAGCAGAGTCTGAGAGAGTCTCGGAGGGTGAAATTGCAAGCAGCCCTGCTCAATCATACCTCGCCCGTTCATCGACCTGGTCGCAAGAACAAGGTAAACATGGCCAAGAGAAAAACAGTTGGCATTCTCGCGTAGAAAATGTCTACGATTAATGCGGTAACATAAGGGGTAATCTCATCCAAGCCCTTCTTTTCAAAGACCCTGGCCAGTCGCCAGGTCCAAGTAGCAGTGGTCAGGAGCAAATTTCCCCACAGCCATGGTCCTCCCTAGGTAAAGAGAGGTCAGTCGTTTCCATTCAGATCTGGATTGGAGGAAGGAGAAAATGGTCTCACCACTGATTGGAATGGTAAGCATAGCAGAAGCCCGACGAAGAAGAGCAGGATCTTGACCATGCCATCTGAAGCAAGGTCTTGCGATGCAGTGCGTACGTTTCCCGCTCCTGGCAGTCCCAAGACACGGTACTGCTTCATAATCGAGATTGATATCTGGATCCCGACGACGCCCAACGCCATCATCCAACCGAGGGTGTGAGAGCCTTGACGTAAGACGAACCAGAAGCTTCGTACTTGCTGCCTTTCTCCGGGCTGGCCCCAGAATAGAAGGCCGAGTTCTCCAACAAGGAACAGACCGCCTGCATGTACCAGTGAGAGGAAGAATCCATCAATAGACTCGATATATCCATAGGCGTTATAGTATGGGTTTGGAACGTCACACTTCTGTCGAGCTATCCAAAGAATTGAGCAGGCCTTGACGATGGACACTGCAAAATCGCTGAGAAACCCAGGATGTGAGCTTCCGATCCATGACTTTCTATTTGGACACCCCAGCCCATGTTTGACATGGCAATAAAACTACCAATTACTCACATGACTAGAAGACGTTCGAGCGCCCAGAGCATTCGTCTTGCTTGTCTGATGTTCTTTTTCCTCTTCCCTATCTCCGCCCAAGAGATGTTGAATAGCTTGAAAGCGGAAACTGAGAGTAGAATGAAGTTCATTGTGATTGTCAAAAGTGAAATTCTTTGATAGTGATGCCATAGTTGGGAGTTCCCAGCAGCCAGCGAGGCAACTTTTCCGGCGGCGCATAGTAACGCTGCGTCGGCATCGGAGCTGATAGGCGGATACGACTTGTTCATGTTTACAGTCTCATGGGTCTTTCGTATGGTCTGCTCATTTCAATTGTCAAAAGAGAAGGTAATGCTCCTTAGGTAGTTGTATGCTCTGGCCCCTGCGGCCATTTACAAGGGTTTTGGCAGTTGACGTCACCTCGCAGTGCCAATGATGACTTGCATCCTGAAGCCTGCGAGTAATGTCACTCTCGTAAAACCCAATCGTGGTTAAGCATGCAAAGTTCTGAGCGCCATTTCCGTGCCTGCGGGACGTGGCTCTCACTTATTGGGTGCGGCGTCTCGAGGACAGGACGAACTTGCCTCACGTGATGGCATAGAAGGGAATGTCGTCAAAAAACCGTCCTGAACAAAACTGACCAAGCCTTTGTTTCAACCGAGCTTGGTCTTGGCGCTTTAGCCAAGTGACGCAGACATGCTTGCCTACTTTATTAGCTAACCTCATAACGGACTATGAAGAAGGCCATTGGTTAGGTGCCGGCTCGGTAACAGATTCGGGATTGTAATCGGAACTCAAATCGTTGATAGACGTACTCTATAGCTCTGGGTTTTGCCTAGGACTATACTCTATTATCTCATCTATAGAATACCCTTCATAGGATACCAGACTAAGTATAAGGAGGTACTCAAGCCCCACCACCATATCATACTGTCACCAAAGGAATTCCGGGCAGGTCGAGACGCTGCTGTGTTAACCTAATAGACTACAAACTCAACGTAAAGAAGGGAGACGCAGAACAGTGGGCAGGAGCTGGAGCGCTGGCCCTTTGGACCCAGCAGATCGGGAGTTTTCTTTTACCCTCAAGGCGAGAAAACGCAGGTTTATTATATAAGTGAAGCTGCCAGTCGAATCCCTACCTTATGCTGAGGAGATACGACGGGAAGGTAACTATATCCATGTACATAGAAACCATGTATATCACAGAACAATAAGCTGAATCGAAGTCATGAGATATCTCAAAAGAAAGAAACCCTCATTCAACCTTCTTCCACATCTTCTCCAGCATACCAACTCTCGCAATGGCCGCTGGTCCCGCCGCCGCAGCTCCAACCTGCTGCATCTGCTGATCCGCCATGGCCGCCTGCGCCAACTGGGCATTTCCATATCCATAACCAACGTAGTTGAAATTGGTAGAGTTCAGGTTTCCTGCTGCACTAAATGTAACTGCTGCCAAACCCAGTGTTTGCGCTTGGCTAAGAGCGTGTTTGGCATTTTGTAGCATTCTATTCATCTCAGGGACGGTTTGGAGATAGATCTGGCGTCGTTGTTGTGCAAAGGCGAGAAAAGAGGCTAGCTGTTGCGTTTGACAGGCTTCTTTGTAGAGTTGGCGCATGCGAGGGGAGTAGAGGTCGCAGAGTCGCGATTCAGCGACGTAATCTCCTTTCATGACGAAATGCTTCTCCAGAGTGGTTTTCTTGGCCACGAGGATATAACATTCCTCACAGATGTGCACGTCGTCCCATCCCCACCATCTCCGATTCTTAGCGAGATCCCGATCTATCTTGGGACAGTTTGGTGCTGCACTCAGGTCCGTCACCAAGTTGCTAAGTGGTCGATGGTCGTTGATATAAGCTGATTCGGCAAACTTTTGTATCAAAGGCATCGCTCGTGGATAAGAAAAGACATTGAACGAGCAAAGCCGAGTTTCATTGGCCGGGACGTGCTTGGGCTTAAAGAGATGGGCCATACGCATACTCGCGATTGTTCCCGCCATGCAGGCTCCGCAAATGTCGAAGTCGGGAGGATTGTCTTGTAGCGTGTACCAAGCAATACCACTTGCGCCTTGCGGATCACAAGGCTTTTGCTGAGAAAGAGATTGCATCACATACCAGAACATGTTAAACTCGCCGTAACTAACTGCTCGTCCGACGGGAATAAGAACGTTGACCTGGCCCATTGCGCACGTCGTGAGCTGTGTAGTGCTCATGCGAGTTGCTTGAAATGATTGACCCTCTGGGGAATCATGGAAGTAATCCCAGTAGCATGCCTCGCAAACTAAGAAGCCTGAGGGGACGCGGGAGGACCAGAACCAGGTCCTATCTGGTGCAGAGACGGCCTGGGCTCTTGGACACAGTTGTATCTGCAACCTCTTGGAGAATGCGTTGGTAAAAGCGATCCAGTTACCGCTTGCTGAATGAATTTTGAGCATGCGGCGTATGTACCAGAGATTATGGTCGCAATTTGCTTCACCTGGAGGTGAATGTATGCTAAACTTGTTTCCGAAGGAAGTATGCTTGAAATGGTCTTCGTAACAAGGCTTACAAACTGCCAGTCCAGAGTCTGGTCGATCCGTGGGATAATACCATTCTCTACCTTCGAGAGACTTGTCTTCCGGACAGAAGCCAAGCTTGGGCCGAGTGGCCATGAAGTTCAACATGCCATCAAGACTCAGGTTTGCTAAAGCAATCGGCCAGAGATTTTCTTTGACGCGAGGGTTCCCAAAGAAACATTGTCTCCCTACGCTGTCTTCATGCCAAACTGGGTTGAAGACGTCATGGAAAGGTGAGTTGAGAATGTGATCGTGGTAGCAACGATTGCAGATAACGAAATTCGGATAGGCGGGGTGGATGAACCAGTAGAGGGGTAGAGTGAAGGGCATGTCAATGCATTCTGTCACGGGCTGGATTCCTAATGGCATGGGAGCGCAGGCTGCCATACCCGAGTGACCTGGATTGGGGCGATTGTCGGCTTGCCTATTCATTGGTGTGTTTGGAACAGGTAATTCCTCAGGAGACTGTCGATTCTGATAAGAGTATGGTTGATTTTGATGAGGGCGTGGTTGCTGTTGCTGGTATTGCACTGGTTGAGGCGACGCTGTTGGATGCGATCCTGGGAGTTCCGCAGGTCGTGAGGGTGGAGACGGAGGTTGGGGATATCCCTGGTAGCCTTGTTGGGGAGTTGGATACACTAGATAATTGGGACTCTGTTGGTATTGCGGCTGATAGTGCCCGGTGGATTGTTGTTGCTGCTGCTGTTGCTGCTGCTGCTGCTGCTGTTGGGGCTGTTGAAAGTCCTTGTTAGCTTGTTTTACTATCTTTTCCGCTCCAGCGAGAAGTTTCGAAAGTCGACCCATTGCAGAATCCGAGGCTTGCTGCAATTTGAGTATATTCCCTTGAGCGAAGTAGTTCTGACTCACGGTGAGGCCAGCTAATCAGCTGAACACTTATAGTCTTATACGCCCTTCCGTGCCCCACTGGTGTCGTTTCGTGCCGATATTGCCGGTCAAAGAATGTCTTGCTTTCCTTATTTAGGACTGGACTAACTCATTTCGACTGACAGGTATCGCTCGGAACAAGTTTATTGGAGCGGGACTGATTAGAAACTATTTATGCAAGCCTCGTGGGTGTGATCTACGTCCACAATGCGTGATTTATCTTAATCACAGCCTCGACGTGAGATGAGCGGCAAGAAATCAGGCGATGAGTTGGGATCGTTTTTTTTTTATAGAAAAAAAAACCTCAAATCTATTCTAACCTCCTTTCCTCATCTAGATTGGAATGCTTTTGGGTTTTGAATTCATCACCATCGCTCCTCATGAATGAGCGGAATGCAGTTGGCATATCTCGCGATCAATAAATATAATACAGAAGATTTACGACCTTCAAACCAAGTGAGCTCATACCGGCCTGTTGATCAAATTGGTTTCCCCTCATGGCGCTTTGGTCCTTTGTTTGGAGCAACTCGGTGTTGAACCGACGCAGATATGATTCTTTAGTAGATGCCTGGGATGAACCGCGCTGTAACTCGATTCCACGCAACCCATTTGTCTCCAAACGTCTTCTTGAGCATCTCTTCTTCATCTTTAACCCTCATCATAAGTCTTCGTAGGATTCCAAATGTAAAGACCGAACAACAAATGAGTCCCCATCCACTCAACGCGGACTGCAGGGCGCGAGGAACTAAGCATCCAACCACACCGTCCCAGCGCAGAAACATGGAGAGATTGATGACCATGACAACGATTTGTCCTGTATATCCGGGATGTTGCATGTATCGATACATACCATCCGTGGTCAAAGTGTCGGGGGGTCCAAGCTTGAAGGTGAAGTTGCTTCCGAGTTGAGCAAAGGCTGTAAGTCGCAGGGGACCTCCAATACAGATAATAAGAAACAAGCAGACCGAAGTGTAAGGGTTCCAAGTGAAAAGTCCGTTGTTCAAGTTCTCAGGGTGCAGGCATACGAGACTGTTGTTGTCGCTGTACCCAAGCACGACAAGTGCATGGAAGATGCCAATACTGACAGCCAGCATCCGACGAATTCGCGCTGCAACTGGGCTAGCATAGGTTCCGAGACTATCTTTGTTCCAACCATCGCGCGGAATTTCATTGGGAGCTTTGAAGCAGGACATGGTGATGAGGCTCGACAACAGAACCGCCCCTGCGAAAGAAACTTTTTGTAAAGAATCCATGGCGATGTAGGCGACTGTAAAGTAGGAAAGAGATTAATTCAAAATAATTTTGAGCTTTCTTGACTGGGTGATCAGATTTGATCGATCGTTTACTTCTGCTGGTCTTCTGGATGGTATTAGTATCGGCGGCAGGCGATAAAATCTCCTGATGTGTGATTACGCCCTGCCGCAGGGCTGTGAGTCATATCAAGAGACTATTGATCCGTTCCGACCTTGCCGGTCAAACAATGCCTCAATTTCATTGTTTAGTCCTCGTACTAGCTCGATTCGACTGGTACGAAAGACTAGGATAGAGAGAGACGTATTGTAAACCCTGTGAACAGCCTGCTGACCTCGTATATATCGATGTCTGTATATGCGTTATTTATTTCAATGACCAAGCCTACTCTGGGTGATCAGTGCAGAAATCACGTAAGGTAAACCCCACTGACTAAGCAGAGACGTATCTCGTGATGGCTTCAACAATCCGTGACCTCACCCCACGCCACGTGATCTTAGTTACATAATCAGCGAGATCCACCATCACTTGCACCCTTTATTCCAGAGCGAGCTTCGTATCCATTTTCACCTTCTAATAGATAAATGTTCTCTTTCACTTACG